GGTATCAAGAGTGTTGATTGTGGAGCCAAACAAACTAAAGCTGTGAACAATCTCAATCTCTTCACCATCTATCATAATGCTGTCAATTGGCCTAGTGGTGAGAATCTTTGTTTTCTTGATGTTGACCTTCACTCCATATTGAAGACTACAGCCCTTGACCCTCTGCAGCAAGCGCTTCAGGTCCTCCTCAGTTTCAGCAAGCAGGGTTGTGTCATCTGCATAACGCAGGTTGTTAATGAATCGTCCTTCAACCCTGATGCCACATTTCTCCTCATAGAGCCCAGCCTCCCAAATGATCTGTTCTGCATATAGGTATGGAAGTGCTGTTTTTAAAAAAAATTATGTATACCTTTTAAAAAAATGTTGGTGTTTCGTTTTTTCCTCTCCTCACTTCTTACTTGCACAATCTGTCTCCTATCCCAGGTAACAATATTAACAACCTAGAGTGTAAGCTTCTATTGCATATTTTAGAACAAGAGAATTTGACACATTAACATCTTGGCCCTGCCCAATAATTGCAGAAACTCCAGACTGGTACTTTTTTTTATCTAGAATTTCTTAGAAAACTCTCCCAAAGATCTCTATGAGACCAATTTAAAGCAGAGAAAATTCCCAACAAACAAGTCTACACTAACGTAGTGAAGCCATAGTTGAATCCTTCTCATAAGGTCCACAACCAGGAGCTCTGTCCTCCCAGACGTGTCCGTCCAGTCTTGAGGGCCATTGCTGGCCTGGTTACCCACATGCCTCCCTCATCTCTCCTCCAGCTGACAGTGTCACACCAACACCCATTTCCTGGTTTTGTTATTGTACTACATTCGTTATGTTTGGTTTCCTATTGCTGCCATAAAAGAAACTGAAGAAAGAGTTCTGAAGCAGAAATATATCTTCTCACAGTTTTGGAGGCTGGAAGTTCAGATTCACGGACTAGTCTTGGGAAGACTCTGTGTGTGGATTTCAGGAGATCTTTGCTTCTTTCAGCTTCTTGAAACCTTGTCTTTTGATGGACCCTCACCTGATGTTTTCACTGTGTTTGTCTCTTGGGGTTTATTCTTTTCCTTTATAAGATACCACTCAAGATACTAGATTTAGGACCAAAGAAAAATAACTTTTTTTTCTCAACAAGATCGAATTCCCAGGACAAAGATCTAAATTTCAACTTATCGTTTGGGTGAGAGGCAGTGGCACCATTAAATCCAAAACTGCATTGTGATGGATCATTTTTATACGGCCTTTCTTGCTATCACCTTGTATTTCCCCCTAAATGATTGTGGCTATGCAAATACAATGTTTGTGACCTGCCAAAGGGATTTGACAGCTTGCCTATAATGTAAATAGGGAGCTCTGGTGGCCTGGTGGTAAGATGCTGCGATCCCAAAGGCACATTGTCCACTCCATCAACTGTTCCTCAGGAGAAGGATGGGCAGTCTCCTCCCCTGTGATTTACTGCCTCTGAAAACCTGCTGGAGGGGCAGCTATGAGTCTGTTTCAACTAGATGACACACAATGTAAATAAGTTATATTGAGGCTATGCAAATAAGGCATGTGAAAGCCTGACAAGGGGATGATTGGTCGCTTTGGCCATCCACTAGATTGAAAATGAGTCAGAAGTAGAAAGAAGAGTCCTAATTTTCATCAAGAAAGAAGAGCTAGGAGTGGAACACAGAATACCTTCTCTGAGAACCTTCTTGACCCAGAGAGTATAGAGAATGGAGGAAGGAGGGAAGGAGGTGGCTGGTGCAATAGTCTCCCAGGCCCAGAGGGTGAGAAAGCTAAGCCCGCTGTTTCAGAAGGCTTGGTGGCAGTGCGGGGTGCCTCTGGGTGGGTACTTGTGGAGCCTATCAGCGGCTTATGGCTGAGTAGGCAAAGTAAACTCCTCTCAGCTAAGCAATGAATTTTGGCTAAGTTGGGTTGCTCTGGGAACTTATCAGTGGAGCCAAAGAACTGTATGATACCTTCCAGAGCAGGGTGGAAGCTGAGGGCCTGAAGGACAGGGCAAGGCTTGTTGTCTCCAGGCATATAGCTGAACAGGTGGCCTGATCAAATTATATCCTGAGTCATTCTTTCTCCCCTTTCCCCCACAAGATGTATCATAGATTTTTTTTAAAAAAATATGATTTGTGTAAAAGTTTACAAAGCAGCTTTGTCGTCCATTCAGCCATGCATACACATTTTTATTTTATAACATTGATTGCAATTCCCGTTATCCAATTGTACTCTTCCCACCTTCTCCCTTGTAGGGACTGGTGAAAGAAACCCCTGAGCCTATGGCCCTTAGTCACCTTTCAAATGTGGAACAAAACTCATTTCTTTGTCTCAATTTTCAGCCAAACAATAGACAATAGACAAGCCTGCAGGGGATTAGTAACATTAGAAAGGCACAATTATGGCATTCTTGATCCTGAACTGTAACTTATTACTTCTCTAAGCAGGAGTAGCATCTACTTTCTAAACAACATGTCTTCGGAAACTCTATGAACTTTGATAAATGTGTGATAGTTGTTGAGGGGCTTCAGGCTTTTTGTTCATCGAGCTACCATGAGTCATGCTCCACAAGAAAGCAATCAACAACAAGGACAATAAACATGATAAATAATTCTTAATATTGTCTGAGTATATTTTGCATGGCCGTTGCAACAAGTTATCAAACTCAGGAGAAGATTGCTGTGGGAGAATGGCTGGTGCCAGAAATGGTAAGAAGACTGGAGAATTGAGGTATGTTTGTCCTCCACATCATAGGAATCAGCTTTGGACTGAGGCTGGTGCAATTCTTTCTCCTGTCATGAAGGTAGAGGAGGCCGGATGGTTTTGTCATGCCATTTTCACAAGTATCATCTCTGATGTTACCACTGGGAGAAGTTGAGTGGAGGGTACAAGCGATTTCTCTTTGTGAATTTTGTTGTTGATTGTAGTCAAGTTGAGCATGACCTATGAACAAAAGGTCTGAAGCCTTTCTATAACTATCATGATTTATCAAAGTTCATAGAGTTTCCAGAGGCATGTTGTTTAGGAAGTGGATGCCACTCCTGCTTCCAATTATTTAAAAAGGAAAAGCTTTAAAAATGTATATAAGAACAAAAACCTTATAAAATTAAACGTTAAAATTAAAATGTGGCTTATTTAACAACCAACCAACTCCATAAAATAAAAAGCCCCTCCTTCACCCTCAAATGAAAGACACTGGAGGAGCAAGCAGTTAACGTTTGCCTACTAACTCAAAGTTTGGAAATTCAGATCTGCCCATGGGTGCCTTAAAAGAAAGGCCTTATAGTCTACTTTTGAAAAATCAGCCACTGAACGCCCTATGGCATACGTCATGGGATTTGGCTTCTTGGGGTTGGGGATTAGGTTTATGATTTCATGGTGCCCACCATGTATATGAGCTGAATGAAAATATTATGGCTCAACCTCATCCTTGCTCTTTAGCACTTAAAGAGGTCCCTGGCAGGTCCCTGGCATTGGGAAGATTTGCCCAATACACTGTGTCGTTGGATTTCTTGACTGCTGCTATCACAGTTGTTGATAATAGATCCAAGTAAAATTAAATCACTGGGAACTTCAATCTTTATCTACCATGATTTTGCTTGCTAGTCCAGATATAGGATTTTTCCCCTTCTTGATATTGAGCTGTAATTCATAACAAAGCTTGTAGTCTTTGATCTTCAGTAAGTGCTTCAAGTCTTCTTCAATATCTATTTAATCTACACGCTGAGCAAATAATTTAAGAAGCTAAACTATTTGAAGATGAATGTGGCACCAGGATTGGAGAAAGACTTATCAACAATCTACATTATGCAGATGGCACAATCTTGTTTGCAGAAAGTGAAGAAAACTTGTTAAGTGCCGTCCAGCCAAGTACGACTCATAGCAACCCTATGAACAAAGGATCTGAACCCTGTTCTATAACTATTATCATTTCTCTAATTTCATAGAGTTTCCAAAGGCCTGTTGTTTAAGAAGTGGATGCCAACCCTTCTTCCAAGCCTGTCTTAATCTGGGAGCTCTACAAAACTCTGTCCACCATGAATAACCATTATGACATTTGACACACCAGTGGCTCAGTGTTCAGTATCACAGCAACACCAAGTTATCTCAGTACAGCAAACTGACAGACAAGAGGTGTACCGCTTAGAACAATGTTCTTCCCAAGCACAATTAACAGCAGGTCCAACAGCTGCAACCAATTTTTAAATACAAAGGCCTGACCATCAGGTCCTGAATGACTTAAACAAGAGGCTTTCAGCACACAGCTGGTTGTTGACTAAATTCAGGTGACCAATTAGCTTGCACACATGATTGTTAACAAAACAAAAAATGACCCAACAGTTTACACCTGACTTTCAAATAAAGAGAACTTACCCTCCAGAATCCAATTGCTTCATACAGGAGCTCCAAACTGGAGAAGATTTAGAACCAAATAGTGATTTAACTCTATTACTAAAAAATGTCTGCCTTGAACATTGTTTCTTGCTTTTCTTTCTTTTTCTTTCCCCTCCCTCCATTATTTTCTTCTAAGAACTTATGTAGGATCAAACTGATAAAAGCAGTTTTAAAGACTGAACAGAAAACTTAGGAAGCAGTAAATTTATATTGGGGAAAAAGTTTAGAAAAGGGAGAGTGGAAATGTTTGCATACTTGAAGAATGTAATCGGTGTCACTGAATTGTACACAGGCAAATTGTCGAATTGTCATATGTTCTGCTATGTATATTCTCAATAACAGTAACAACAAAAATGGGGGAGGGGTAAAAAAAAGAAAAGAAAATGATCTGTTGCAACAGTTCTAGTCTGACACAGAGTTTCCAGAAATGGAAGTTGGCTTTTAAAAAATGGAAAAAAAATTATCTGCTACACAGTTCTATTCTGACAGAGTTTTCAGAAGTGGGAGTTGGCTTAACAGCAATTGGATAGCCCTTCAAGGCAGAGACTCCTGCACTCAGGGAAGGAGTGAGTGGGGAGCAGTCTGGAGCTAATGGTCTTTGCTTCTCTTGATGCTGACAGCCTTACTGTACCCTGGAGACAGGATTATTCTCCTGAAAGACAGTGTGTGCCCCCTCCGGCAGCCAGGGGGCTACTACTCTGACTTGAAGCTTGGTGTTCTGAACCAGTCTCTGCTCAGGCCCCAAGGAACCAGTGTGGCTAAGAAGACCAAGAAGTGAGTTTCAGACCTTTCTCCCCCCATCTCCTGCCTCCTATTCCCTCAATGTCCTCTCAGCCCCAGGGACCGAGGGGAGTCTTTTCAGACACAGAGGACACCAGCCTCTTCACCATCCCTCACTGGTCATCCCACCCTGGACACCTTTCTCGGAGTCATGGCCTCCACACCTTAGTGCCTCCGCAATTGTTCTGCTGACCACAGTCTAGAGGACCTCTGGGTCTTTGGAGACAATGAAAAGAAGAAACTTTATTATAAAAATGAGGGATATGCACACCCATGTTTATCGCAGCTTTGTTCACAATAGCAAGGAGCTGGAAACAACCTAAATGCCCATCAACAAACGAATGGATAGAGAAACTGTGGTATATTCACACATGAACTACTATGCTGCATTGAAGAACAAGGAACTCATGCAATATTCAAAATGGGCGACCCTGGAGGACATTATGCTGAGTGAAGTATCTTAGTCGCAAAAGAACAAATACTGCATGGTGCCACTGTTGTAAAACAGGACTGACCTCGGTTTGGGAGGAGACTGAGAAAGATGGGTTCAATAATACATATTGCATTGAAACAGATGAGGGAGAAAACTGTTTAAAAAGGGATATGTGATTAGGTATTATATTCATGATAGGAGTCCAGAATTAAGGCTGCATAGTGGAGTGGACCTGGGGGGTGGGTTTATAAAACAATGAAAGAATTTTTCTTGTATTTTTCCAAGAGGGTAGTGTACTAGGGGGAGGGTTGGGAGGGGAGAAAAGTGTAACAATGAATGAATGGAAATCCGAAGTCTCTGTAAATTTTCACTGAAATTAATAATAAACATTTTTTTAAAAATGAGGAATGAGAAATAGGGTGGGAAGGAGATCCTACTGTTGAAATCCAGCCAGAGGATTTGTAACTTTTAGATAAGGGTAGAAAATGATGAATAAAATGAGACTTTAAAAAAATGAGGGGTACTCCTTGACATTTCTGAATCATGGTGGCCCTGTGGACTCGGAGGAGCCCATGGAAGTGCAGAAGTTAAAAGATCAGCTGCTAACTGAAGTCATTTGAACACACCAGCTGACCAGCAGAAGAAGGATAAAGCAGCCAGCCTCTATAAAGATTTATAGGCTATAAAATCCTCTAGGCCAGAGTAGACTCTGTCCTGTAGGGTTACTATGTCCACTCATAGACCACAGCTAAGAAAGGAGCAGTCTCCTTTGGAAGGGGTGGACATTGGTTTCATTTTGCTCCTCAGATTGAGTTGGTAAAGATTGGGAGACCAGATGCAGGCTTGGCAGAAAAAAATGTTGTGACTGATTCAGTGTCTGTCAGGCCCGAAGTTTTGTTTTGTTTTGTTTTTAGATTTTATTTTAATAATTTTAATGAACATTTACAGAGACTTTGGATTTCCATTCATTCAATGTTGTACTTTTCTCCCTGCTCAGCCCTCCTCCCCACCCGCCAGTTTGCTTCTCTCTTTGAAAAGTAAAAGGAAAATTCTTTCTTTGGTATACAATCCCCCCACATCCCTCCACTGCCCCAAGTACACTCCACTATGCAACCTTAATTCTGGACTCTTGTGATAACCATAATACCCTATCATACATCGCTTTTCAATTATTCGCTCCCTCATCTGTTTCAATGCAGTAAACATAATTTATCCAGTTTTTCTCAGTCCTACACCCACCCCGATGTCAGCCTCATTCTACAACAGTGGCACCATATAATATTTGTCCTTTTGTGACTGAGATACTTCACTCAGCATAATGTCCCCCAGGGTCACCCATTTTGAATAATATTGCATGAGTTCCTTGTTCTTCAATGCAGCATAGTACTCCATTGTGTGAATATACCACAGCTTCTCTATCCATTCGTTTGTTGATGGGCACTTAGGTTGTTTCCAACTCCTTGCTATTTGTGAATCAAGCCACAATAAACATGGATGTGCATATATCTGCTTGGATGTCAGTTATGGTCTCTTTGGGGTATATTCCCAGTAGTGGAATTGCTGGGTCAAATGGTATCTCTATTTGCAACTTTTTGAGAAAGCGCCATACTGCTTTCCACAGTGGTTGCACCATTTTACACTCCCACTAACAGGGAATAAGGGTTCCAGTTTCTCCGCAACCTCACCAGCATTTGTTGCTTGCTGTTCTGTTAAATTTTGCTAGTCTTACTGGGGTGAGATGGTATTTCAGAGTTGTTTTGATTTGCATCCCTCTTAGAGCTAGGGATTTTGAACATTTCTTCATGTGCTTGTTGGCCATCTGAATGTCATCTTTGGTGAAGTGTCTGTTCATATCCTGTACCTTTATCTTTTTGTGGCACTCAAGTATTTTATAAATTCTAGATATAAGTCCCTTATCTGACATGTCATTCCCAAATACTTTTTCCCAGTCTGTGGCTTCCCTTTTTACCCTGTTGGAGAAGCTTTGGATGTGCATAGGCCCGAAGTTTTAAGTTTTAAGGATAATTTTGCCATCCTCATCCTCTGGCGGTGGAAGCAGAAGTCAAAGTGTTCTAATTTGTCAACCACTTATGGGTCAGTTCTGACTCGATGGTACATAACACAGCAACATTTGTTTATTAATCAGGAAGCTCTGGTGGACTTTTGCAGAGCTAACCTAAAGGCTCATCTCTCTGGGGGACTGAATCCTCAGGAGAGAGATGGGCAAGCTACTCCTGTTTGATTTTCACCCTTGAAAGGAAGTTCAGCTATGAGTTGATTTCAAGTCAACAGCAATAAGCTGAGTTAGTTTATTAAGTGTCCCTCCTAACTACCTCCGAGGGATGTGGGAACCCTGGCTCAGAAAGGTAATGTGACTTGCTCCAAACCACTTGGCAAGCTGGGTGCTGATGTTGGGTCTGGGCAGCCCACACACACTGGTGGTGTGTCTCCCCTAGAGCCTGGACAGTCAGTCAGGCCTCACGTCGGTGACCTTCTCTTCCAGATAGATTTCTGCAAGCCCCACCCTATTCCCCTCTCCTGAAAAAAAAAATACCTCTCTCTTCTCCTCTAGGAAGAAGAAAAAGAAAATGAAGAAGATGTGCTTTAAGGAGTTTGAGGAATTCACTAGGTTTGTGGTAATCATGGTACTTTGGAAGAATGGAGGGTACTTTGAAGGGCTGCTTGGCCACCTGCATGTCAAAAGCTGCCCCACTGGAGAAGTTGGTCTCAGACTCCAGCCGGAAGGAGCCAAAGACATTAGCAGCATTGATGTCACAGAAATCCATGAAAACTCAAATACCGTCTTTGAGGCAAAGGTCTTATTAGTACAGGAGTCAAGATATCATAATGTGATGCCTGGTTCTGCCATTGCCTTGTTCTTGATATTGGCAAGCCCTTTCTCTTTGGAATTGTTTCCTCTGCTTCAAGTGTGTATATACTTTGCAGGGCTGTTATTGCTGTTATGTGCTAACAGGTTGGAACCAACTCGTAGCTGACCCTCTAGCAGGTTTTCAGAGGCTGCAAATCATGCGGGAGGAATTTGTCCATCTTTCTCCCACTGAATATCTGGTGGATTCAAAGTGCATGCCTTTGGATTAACACCCAGCTCCTTAACACTGGGCCACCAGAGCACCCTGCAGGACTGTTACTAAGGTTAAATGCCAGATTGTGAGTTGCAAACTGCTCCTTTTTTACAAATGAGAACACTGTAAGTGGTTCATCTCCAAGCTGGAGTCCAGAGAGAGAGCAGCTCAAAGCAAACCTAAGGGCAAAGTCTCTACCAAATTTCCTTCTGGTACCAAAACTATGCTCATTTTAATGTAAAAATTGATATTTCTTTCCTCTTACATTTTCAAGTAAAAAGATGCTCTAGAAAAGTGGACTTTGTTAATCCCATGCTTGTTCCTAAGGGCAAATAGACCCTGTTATGAAGCTTTTAACTGTTGCTTGATGCAAGGAGCTGAGAGGTAGTTAACCATCACTTTCAGAGGGCCAAGGAGAGTATGCAGGGTGTTTCAGATGTGTTTACATATCTTCATTCTCTTGCTAACCCTACAACATGAGTTACTTTTAACATACCCATTTTACAGAACAAGAAACTGAGGTATAGAAAGAATAACTCTCTTGCCAAAGTTACACATCTATTCAGGGGCAGAGTAGGAACTTAAACTGAGTGGCGCTCTGATCACACTAAAGTGACTCTAAAAATAGGTCATGTGTGCTTCAGAGCATGGGCTTTAATATTGATGGCATGATGCAGAGTGAAGTAAGCCAGCTACAAAAGGACAAATACTGTTTCAATTATTATGAGGTACCTGTTAATGTTAGGTGCCATTGAGTCAAGTATAACTCATAGCATCACTATGAACAGCAGATCTGAACAGGGTCCTATCCTATGCCATCCTCATCATCTCTGACACAGTTGAGCCCATCGCTGCAGTCATCGTGTCAGTCCATCTCATTGAGAGTCTTCCTTTCTTTCACTGACCTTTCCAAGCATGATGTCCCTTTCCTAACAACATGCCCAATGTACGTGAGACAAAGCTTCGCTATCTTTGCCTTTAAGGAGCACTCACTCCGATTTCACTTTCTCCAAGACATATTGGCATGTTCAGGCAAATTCAGAGACAGAATGTAGAATAGAGGCATCAGGGCTTGGGGTGTAGAGAGTAAAGGGGAGTTAGGGTTTCATGGGTAGAGTTCCGCTTTGGGGTGATAAAAAAGATCTGGTAGCACAACATTGAATGGATTTACTGTTACTGAATTGTCTACACAAAAACTGTTAAAACAATAAATTCTCTATTGACTTTATCATGAGGCAGTTGACTGGAGTTCAGGCCTGCACTCTGCCACTTATTCACAGTGTGCTCTTGGCAGGGTGACTGAGCCTCCCTGGACTTGAGTTCCTCACTGGAACTACCCTAAGTGGGCAGGACAATAGGACTCATGGAACTGGTGTGAGGATCGAGACACTGATGCACCTGGTACGAGGCCAAAGCTCCACTAAATTGCTACCGTCTGCTTGCTTGTTTGAGAAGGCGGCCTGGTCCCTTCCTGTCCCACCATAATGTCCTTCTCTGTGTCTTTTGATTTTCCAGGAAGCTGCAGTCAAAGGGCTCCAGTGGTCATCAGCCAACACACCCTAACTTCTTCTGGCCGGGCCACCTCCTGGACAAGCTGAGGCTGTACCTGCCCTCTGTGGCCACAGACCGGAGCCTGGCAATCTTCAGCCAGGTGCAACACCAGCCCCCTGCCTATTCAGCCACCTACCACCCAGACCGCTGGTGGCCCATATGGAACAATAAGTACATGATCTATGGCTATCATGATGCCTGCAAGGTCTACTCTGACAGCTAGAGCAGCCCAGGGTGACTGGAACCAGCCTTCCAGGGGCCAGAGGCCAATGCAGCCAACAGCTTGAAGCCGTAGAAACAGGAATGTAAAAGAACCAGACAAAACCCAAATATTTCCAATGAGATGGCCCCAGGACCAGTGTCTCCAAGTCTAAATGTGTCCAGGGGACGATGTGGAAGTTTGTAGGGTTTTCTTCCCTACCCTCTTTTGAAATAAACCAGCTTGGTGTGTTTTACACAAGATCTAAAACCCAGCTGAGTGATTTCTTGCTCAAGAGTGGCCAGAGGGGTGTTTGGAAAGGGGGGTTTCGGAGGAACACAGGAGGTGTGAGTCTGCTGGCACACTGGTAGGGATACCTGCCTGGCACCTTCTAGGTTTTGCTTTGGAATTACAGTGCCTGCAGGGAGGCAATAGGCAGCGTGGGTACCCTGTGCTCTCCTTTGTGAAATAAAGCAGTTCCTTACTCCCAAACACTGTGCCATTTGGGTTAAATTCAACTAACTCAACTGATTGCTGTAACGTTGGAACCAACCCATAGCTGACCCTTCACCAGCTGGTTTTTGGCAGCCATAAACAGCACGAGAGGAGACTGCCCATCTTCTGACGAGCCGCTTGTAGAGTCAGAGTGTATACCTTTGCACTGGCATGCCGTTCAAACATATATATGATGTAGCTGTTAGGTGCCATCAAATCAAATACAACTAAAAATGATCCTATAATAAACAGACTCACACGTACCTCTCTCCTGCACTAGTCCTCTGTCTCTGCCATGCTGACCATCATGCCTTCATACAGAGAGCCTTCCTCTCTTTCTCTCACCCTCTACCTTTCCCAGTATGACATCTTTTTCCGAGGACGGGCACCTCCCGAGAACAAGCCCAAATTATGTGAGATGGAGTGTCACACACTTGCCTCTAAAGGAGCATCCTGGTTGAATTCCTCTAAGACAGGCTTGTTTGTTCTTTTGGAAAACTATGGATTATTCAGGAAATTAAAAGGCGCATTGCTGTTAGGGACCTCTCCAAATTACTGAAGAGCAATGGTGTCTCTCTGGAGACTAAGGTGCGTTTGATACAGGCCATGGCCCTTGCAATCACTTGTTATGCATTAGAGAGTTGGACAATGACTAGGGAGGATAGAAGGAGAATTGATGTCTTTGAGCTGTGGTGCTGGAGAAGAGTATTGAGAATACCATGGACTGGTAGGAAAACTAACAGATTTGTCCTGGAAAGGGTTAAACCATGTGGCTCCTTGGAGGCAAGGATTCTGAGGCTCTGTCTAACATACTTTGGACATGTTGTGAGGAGAGACCGGTCCTTGGAGAAGGACATCATGCTTGGGAGGGTGGAGGGACGGCGCAGGAGGGGAAGGCCCTCTATGAGGTGGATTGATTCAGTGACTGGGATAATCGGGATGGGAGTGTCGGAGACAGTGTGATTAGCACAGGACAGATCAGAGTTTAGGGCTGTTGTACATTGGGTCGCTATGAGTCGCAAGCTACTCGACGGCACATAACGACAACAACATGGATTATTCAGCACTTAAACCTAACACCATAAGTCAAAGGCATCAGTTCTGCCACTCTTATAAGAAACATTAGAAAGTTAGACATTGAATTGAGCCAATTGGCAGCACCATGCTAGATGGAGAAGAGATTGAAGTTGTTAAGCATTTCAGCTGCTCGGCTCCACAATCAACATTCTTGGTACTATAAACCAGGAAATCAAAAGACAAATTACATAGGGGAAGTGTACAGTCAGGCACCTCTCCAAAATGCTGTAATGTGTAATGATTGTCAGTCTAGGGACAAAGGTGCACCTGATCTGTTGTTGTTGTTATGTGCCGTTGAGTCGTTTGAGACTCATCACGACCCTATGTACAACAGCCCTAAACTCTGCTCTATCCTGTGCCAATCACATTGCCTCTGATACACCCATCCTGATTACCCCAGTCACTGAATCAATCCACCTCATAGAGGGTCTTCCCCTCCTGCGCTGTCCCTCCACCCTCCCAAGCATGATGTCCCTCTCCAAGGACCTGTCCCTCCTTACAACATGTCCAAAGTATGTCAGATGAAGCCCCAGAATCCTTGCCTCCAAGGAGTAGCCTGGTTTAACCCTCTCCAGGATGAATCTGTTTGTTTTCTTGGCAGTCCAGGGTACATTCCATATTCTTCTCCAGCACCACAGCTCAAAGACCTATTTGTTTTCTTGGTGGTCCATGGTATGTTCATGACTCTTCTCCAGCCCCACAACTCAAAGGCATTGATTCTTCTGTCATCCTTAGTCACTGTCCAGGTCTCTGATGCATAGCAAGTAATTGTGAAGACCATGGCCTGGATCAGGAGCACCTTAGTCTCTAGACTGACATTGTTGCTTCTCAGTACTCTGGAAAGGTCCCTGATGGGAGATTTCACTAACACAATTCATCTTTTGATTTCCTGGCTGCTGGTACAAAGAGTGTTGATTGTGGAGCTGAGCAAGCTGTAAATGTTAACAACCTCAATCTCTTCTCCATCCATCATGGTGTTGCCAATTGTCTTTGCCCTGTATAACCCTATTTTTACAGTAACTATGCCAATCCATCTTGTTGAGGGTCTTTCTCTCTTTCTCTGGCCCTCCACCTTTCCAAGGATGATGGTTTTTTCCAATAACTAGTCCCTCCTTGACAACCTACCCAAAGTATGTGAGATGATGTTTCACTATCCTTGCTTCTAGGGAGCACCTTACAAGTTGTACTTGGTTGTAATTCCTCCAAGACAGACTTGATTCTTCTTTTGGCAGTCCATAGGATATTCAATATTCTTCTCTAATACCACAATTCAAAGTCATCAAGTATTCTTCTGTCATACTTATTCATGATCTAAATTTCAAATGCAATACAAAGCAACTGAAAATACCATGGCTTGGATCAGGCTAATCTCAGTCTTTAAATTGGTCCTTGACAACAGATTTTCCTAATACAGCACATCTTTTGTTTTCTTGACTGCTGTTAGGGGAGTTGATTGTGGATCCAAGTAAAATGAAAAAGTTGACAACTTACATCTTTTCTCCATCTATCATGATGTTCCCTACTGTTTCAGTGGTGAGGATTTTTGTTTTCTTGATATTGAAATGTCATCCATGTTGAAGGCTGTAGTCTTTGATCTTCTGCAGCAAGTGCCTCAAGTCCTCTTTTTGTAAGCAAGATTGAGTCAAAGGCGACTCAATGATACATAACAACAAACAACAACAATCATGATGTTGCCTATTGGTCCAGTGATGAAGATTCTGAGGGTTTTTTTCTTTATGTTGAGATGTAATCCATATTGGAGGCTTTTATTTTTGATCTTCTGTAGCAAGTACTTTAAATTGTCATCCCTTTTCTGCAAGCAAGTTTGTGTCATCTGCACAAAGCAATTTGTTGATGAGTCTTCTTCCAATCCTGATGCTGCATTCTTGTTCTGGTAATCTAAATTCTCAGATGACTCAGTATACTGATTGAAGAGATAAGGAGAAAAAGATATAACCCTGATGCACACCTTTTCTATTGTAAACCATGCAGTGTTCTCCTTTTCAGTTCAGACCACTAACTACTTCTTTGGTTTTGTGTATGTTTCTCATGAGTACAATTAAGTGGCTTGGGATTCCCATGCTTCTCAATGAGATCCATAATTTGTTATGATTCCCACAGTCAAATATCTTTGCATAGTTAATAAAACACAGGTCAATTCATTTCTGATAGTCTCTGCTTTCAGCCAAGATCTATCTAACACCAGACATGGTATCACCCGTGCCACAGCCTCTTCTGAATCCATCTTGAACTTCTGGCAGTTCCCTGTCCATGTACTTGCTGTATTGTTCCAGCTGATCTTTTAATACTCTTCGGCAAGATTTTAGATTCATGTGATATTATTATTAAATAATTGTCATGTGATAATATTAATAAATAATTTCTACACACTATTGAATCACCTTTGTTTTGGCATAGGAACATTTTTAATGTTTGTTTATATTGTAATGAATCAGAACCTTATTCCTTTTTCTAGCAAAATAATACTCCATTGTATGGGCATTTGATTTACTCAGTTTCACCATCATTAAAACAGTATCTGAGACACTGAGATATTTTATTAGACTCTGCTGCACATTTCAGGCCTTTACTATTAATACTGCAGTTATTATGTTCTAGAATTATAAATCATGATACCCTATCATCTAATTGACTAGCACTATTTGGATGAGAAAACAGGCCTAAAGATAAGCTGAAGAGAACTGCCTGAGACTCTACAGCATACAGGGAAAGTCAGGGGTTTGATTGGCTCCAGATTCAGGGACACTGGCCCAAATGAAGAATCCCACCTTTCCCAAAACCCCTTTAGACTTCCTCCTCATGGAATCTCCCAGAATAGGGATGATAGAAACCTAACTCTCAGGAGCTGGACAGGCCTCGACTCTGCGAGGCTTGTTCACGCCCATGCATGGTGCTCAGCCAATAAGCACGGTTCCGTTCGCTGTTATGGCAACCAGAATGCTAACTTGCTTGGAACCTCAGAGCCATCTGCAAAATTTGTAACTAGGTTATTTACTCCTGCTGCCCTGCGAAAACAAGCACATACAGACATATAACAACTATAAGGAGCTCAGTAACTTAGTGGTAGGAAACTGCACTGCAATCCTGAAGGCATACAGTTCAAAACCACCAGTTGATCCTTGAGAGAAAGATGCCTCCCATGTGAGGCACAGCCTCTGAAAATCCTGCCAGAGCATCAGCTATGGTTTGATTTGATTAGATCATACACAACAACATATATACATACACTCACACACCCCAGCACCTGCTCCCAGAGCAGTGACCATGGACCATTTCACCTTTTCTGGAAATGGGGATAATTATAAATCTCTTCAGAAGAGACTCTAAAAATTGCACTGGATCGCAGGGAAGCCAAAGCACAAGGAAGAATTCAAGATACTAAAGAGTTGAATAGAAGATTTCAAAAGGCAGCACGGGATGACAAAGCAAAA